TGTGACCTCAAACACAGGTATAAAAAAACACCTGTTTCAGAAGCGTTCAGCAATTTTTCTTTTTTTATGCCTCTAAACGCAGCTCTATTTCAGCCTATGTGGCCATGCACATCAGGTGTTTAGAGCACTATGTATAAGCAGAAATGTATTCCAATGGCCAGAAAAAATATTCTGCCCAGCAAAATGCATTCATGCTCAATGCGCACACATACTTGACATTAGAGGCATTTTTTATTTTGCCATATTCTGACAGAAAAAAATTCAGCTTATTTGAAGCATAAATTCATACACTCATTGGCATGAGGCCTATAGTGTGTATTTAAATCCGTGAGTGCATCTAAGGCCTCGTTCACATGTGGCGATTATATCCGTGCAGGGTCATGTTTACCAGCAAGGGATGCACAGGTGTATTGTGCATCCCCCCTGTGGGCAATCCTATTCATGCCTATTGGGATACAGCAGCTGCACAGACAGACGTTGGGTCCCAATATGACAACCATATGTTTGAGGGTGCATGCTCCCGCATGGATATCATACTGGGAACAGCCAGCACGGGGATGCACGCAACACCTGTGCATAACCATGCTGGTAAACATAGCCCTGCGCGGTGCACGAATATAATCACCCTGTGTGAACAATGCCTACCCCCCCACACTGATAATGATGCCTTCCAAAGCGGTCTTTGCTGCTCCTTTATCCAGAGTGTAGGCACCCTAATATAGGAAGTACGTTACTGCCCAGATCACCAGGTGAAAACATAGGTGGGGAGCTTAAAAAAAAAAGAAAACTAATGCAGCCATCACATCTAATGACTGATAACTTGCAATATTACATATTTGGTTTTGGGTTTATTACTATTTTAATCAACCTGCAAAGCAAAAAATGTCCATACATGGCTCGAATTTTGGCCAATCCCTGCTAAAATGGGAAATATTTGAGCTGTGATTGGTCCTGTCGGCACCACCTGGCTCCACAAAATTTAACTGAACAATCAATGGCACTGGAAAGAGAACGGTCAACTGAATGGTAACTGCAAACAATATTATGAAGTCACTATTTGGGTACTTAGACTGTCATAGGTGTGGCAGCTGTCTGAATACAGAAGCCGACAGGGAAGATTCCTCTATCCATGCTAAACGGAATCGATTGATTTCTCTTGATCGGCTGAACTAGAGTAATCTTAATGTGTACAGCTAGGTTTAGTTACAATCACAAAAACACTTAAGCACTTGGGCTTTTAAGGCACCAGATATCAAACAAATGGCATGTTTTGTGAATGGCTAGGTTTAGTATGTCCATGTCAAGTAGTTAAAAAAAGAAAAAAAAAAACAGTTGCTGTGTGTCTCACTGGAGATGACTATTATTTGCTAAAATGGCACAAGATAATAGGGTGAGAGAAAGTGCTAACACATAAGAAACAAGATGTGAAAGTGTGAGTTAAGGAAGTTAAAATTTACATTCAAGAAAACAGGCCGAGAAATCACATGAAAGTAAAAAGACACCAACATTCTATTTTCCCTAGTAACTGGCCAACATCCAGACAAGTATCTGACACCGCTGCTACAGATATCTGAATTATGCAGCAATTCCTTACATTATTAAACCTGCTCTCGACCCAAAAGAAAAACTAGCCTTTGCCTTAGAACTACAGATAAAAGACCTGTGTGCGATTGTGTAACTTACAGCGGCCAATAAATATTGTTACAATATTATATTGCTGCTGGTTTGAAAAACAAAACCTGTGTATAAGATAGAATACAAAAATGAAAACCTTTACTTTTACTCCAACTAAAGAATAGACTCTATACCTCACATTTCTGCTATGCCTTCTCCTTTATTACTGAGGTAAAGAAATGCCATAGCAAGACTGGCAAATGGCAATATATATACTTTAATTATGCATTGAACTATTTGCTGGAGTTTGCATTAAAAAGTACAAATTCAACCCATATAAGCAATGCCACATTGCTAAAAGTCACTCCAGCTAACAACTGCCCTAGATAAGACATGCAAACGAGATAAATTCAATTACACTAAACCTCTAGCTTTTTTTCAGCTCGAGCAGTTTTCATACTTTGCCCACATGTGCATTTTTAAAAAATCCAAAACATGTTTTTGGAAAACAGAAGGCCTATAAAACGAAAAGTTAGAAGTTGCAAAATGTTATGTTGTATATATTTTCAGTAAAACATACAATAAAATTAAATTTAATGCATGCAAGCAAAATCTATAACGTTTTGGAAAATATAAAAAGATGAGATTGTGTCAAATAAATACATACAAAACATTAAATAAAAAACTGAAACAGTGAAATTTGGATACCCAATATTGCCCATAGGAGATGCATTAAAAATCTATACAGCTCTTTAGTTTAATGTTAATCATAAACAATGGTCCGAGAATTATTTCTCCCACTTCCACATGCATGGTGATACCAAATTATGTGTTTTTGTACGCATGTGTGAGTAGGTTTGTATATTTTTACATATGCACACTGGAGCGCTTTAACCACTTTTCCAATTCTGAGATTCCTCTCCTACATTTAAAAAGTCAGCATTTTTGTTTTGTTAGAAAATTCTTAAGAAACCCAAACGTTATATTTATGCAGAGGCCCTAGAGAATACAATTGTAAGTGTTACAATTTTTTATGTGACATGATATTAGCACAGCTTTTCAAATTAAATTCATTAAAGTGTATTTTTTCTAAAAAGTTTTAAGTGCGCACAAACATTTTTTATAATACACAATTTTTTGGTAAAATATAAAGAGACGGTGTTGCTTTGAGTAAATATATATACTAAATTATTCACAGGCAAAGTTTTAATGCTGGTTCACATTTATGCTGATTGGATGCAGTTTGAACCGCATCCAATTCACATGACATGCGAATAAACATTGCTTCCTATGGTTTCTGTTCACATATGTCCGGTGCACCAGCGGTGCACCTTCAGTGTGGTTTGAAAAAGAGTCCTGTACGATTTCTGAGAAGTGTGGCCCAGTTCAGGTGCGGATTACAGGTTATTGACTTCTATGGGAAACTGTTTCTAAATCACTGTTTCTAATGGAAACTGTTTCTAATGTGTGTGAACAGGATAATTCTAAAAGCTAATTCTGTCCTGAACCTGATGTAAACCTGACATGAACCGGTGAACAACTACTGTATCAATGAACTGTAAAACCAGACCATCAATTCGCACCGCACATGTGTGAATCAGCTCTTGCTTTTACAGGTTACTACCTTAGATTTACAGAGGAGGTCCAGTGCTAGAATTTTTGCTCTTGCTCTGACACCCGCAGTGATACCTCACATGCGTGGTGCAATCGCGGTTTACATATGCGTGCAGGGCCATCACGAGTTTGCCTTTGCACGTGAGCACAGGGGATGGGGATTCTGAAAAATTTATTAAAATAATTTTTATTTGATTTTTTTTTTTTTTTTTTTTTTTTTTACACTGTACCATTACATTTTTTTTAAATGGCTTTTTTTGCTATCACAAGAGATGAACAGCATAGCTTGTAGTAACATGGGCCATGCCAGTTTGGCTTTACGGAGAGATCTAAGGTCTATCAGACCCCAGATCTCTCCACTGGCCTATAGAGCAGCAAATAAAACAGAGATTGGTTTGATCTGCTGCTACAGAAGGTGGCGAAGACTTGTAAATAAAAGAACTGAAACTGGAAGCGACTAATTCCTCATTGTTTCCAGTTTTTGAAATTGAACAGCGGGAGGAACAAGGTCAGTTCCTCTCACCCTGTTCGGGATAGCCAATGCTGCCAGTGGCATCTCCTCACTGGGCTCTCCCGAGCGATCGGGAGTGGGGTCAGACCCCCTTTGATCACCTGTAAAAGTAATCCAGTGACTTTTTAGCCACTATAACTACTTTTACATTCGAGGGAATTGCTGGCCCTAAAAAAAATATCTTGTCATTGCTGCAGTGATCACCGAGACATCACTCTTCCAATTCAGCAACGTATCAGTAAGTCGCTGGTCATCAAGTGGTTAAACTTTTCTTATTGATTTTACTCATTTTATTATTTTTGAGCGTACAATTATATTATGCAGTAACAGGTTCTTTGTATGGAGACATCAGACTCCTAATGTCTCTCACCCGCAATATCCCTGAGCTGAGGACAGAAAGTCCCTGATCAGCACCAATCACAGCAGCAGCTAGCTGTCAACTGACAGCCATAAACCCAGAAATGCTCAGAGCAGAGAATAGAGCAGAGAACAGAGGCGAGGTTGGGTATCATGCCATCTGGAAACAGTTTTCTGTTGTCTCAGGCTCCCAGGAGAAGTGGGAGAATCTGGGAACCACTGAAGAACCAAACCTGAACTTCCACCACATGTAGAAGTGATTGGGCAGCTTTAGAGCCACCCAGATCACTTCCTTAATCTAAAAGCTATTGCTAGACTACATTAAAAGGCGGGAACCTGCAAATAAAATGTAAAACTTCAGCAATTTTAAAAGTTCAGCAATGTAAGCCCAGTCAGCTTTCCTGCTATAGGAATAGTACGGTTTAAAGAAACAATACAACAAGTAAGACATATTCCAGCTTCTGTAATTTTTTTTTTTTTTTTGCAGTGTGCAAATTCAGTGGCAGTAATTTTGACACAACACCTGTTCTTCCAGGAATGATAACTATAATTCATCATAATGGAAAAGACAAGCTCTGAAACTCACCCTTTACCTCAACTAAACTGCCAAAACACGCATTTAACCTAAACCTAACCTCTTAACACTCTAAACCTACTGAGATGATGTTTTATTAACACACAGATAAATACTATCATGGCAATACACTTGACATAAACCCTCTTGAAAATGTAATGTGATAAAAGCATCCCTTTAAAAAGGGTCAAATTACTGATAGATCCTGAAAAACATGCACCAAATTGAAATAGTTCAGATACTAGAATAAATCAGTTTATAAAAAACAGTCCTTGACGAATAGTAACATTAGTGATTCATATTCTCCATAAAATAAATAGTGCCACATACCTGTGTGACTGTTGAAGTTTGCAAAATTGGCAAAGTTCGCGGTGGCAGCTTGCTGAGGCGCAGGCGTAGCAAAGATGTCTCCTCCAAGGTCGCTCAGAAGGTCAAACTTTTTCTCTTGGTGATGGTGGTGATGATGATGATGAAGATGCTGTTGCTGGGGCACCTGATTGCGAGCCACAACAGGAGACTGAAAACGAGACCTCTATTAGCTGAACAGAAGTCCATTTAAACATTTAAACCGTGTTCTTACTGGAGACACAGCAGAGGGAAATGCAAGCTCCACTGTGAAACTCTGACAGATAAGTAGTGCTTTAACAGCAGCAAACCGCCTTAAGGCCTGGCTCACATCCATATGCAGGTTACGGTTGATGCTTTTTTCCCCAGTGCGTTTTTAATGCATTTTTAGGGAGGTGTCTGTTTTGCGGGAGAAACCAGCAAAAACATAACAGAAACGCAACAAAAATGCAAGCACTGTGTTTTTTGATGCGTCTCCATTGAAATAGAACTATAGAACCAAAAACGCAACCTGCTGTGGGAAAAAAAGGCCCTGATCTTTTCCAAGAAACATACCAGTGGAAAACACACAGATGTAAACATGACCCATGGCAAACCATGCTAAATGGACTGTAGTGAGTTTCTGCAAAACTGAAAACGCACAGGTGTGAACCAGGCCTAACACAGAAAACATTCAAAACTGAGATTTCCTCCATTGAGAATCACCAGTGCCTTACATTACTAGAGTTTTATGTTCGGTTTCAATCAGGTGCACTACATGCTTCAGATTGTATGTTCTCCCCATGTTCTTTCATTTCATTTAGATGCTCTGGACATACTGCCATCTACCAACAATGGCACTACAATATCTGAGTGTTCACATGACCACTTCAGGTACATTAGCCTGTAAGAGCCATTGAAACAAAGACTACCAGGAAATTGGTCCAAAGAACAGCCACACAACAAGCTGGGATCTTCACTAAACATTAATCTTCATAAATTCTGCCATTGCTGGTTTCCTTCTACTCTTTGAATATTCTATGGCAGGAGGAGCTTGTGCAGCGATGTTTGGAACAGTGTTTAGTGGAGATGAGATTGTAGCGTGATGTCTGGCCATGCCATTCTTTGGATCATACTAAGTGGGGTCAGAGGCAAGCTGGCACCTGAGGTGGGGTGAATGGAGCACATATGTGCTTGGAGCAGAATCATCGCTGTTTATGGACCAAGATGGACTGCTGCAATTTATTTATTTATTACAGATACTTATATAGTACCATCAATTTATGCAGAGCTTTACATATATATTGTACATTCACATCAGTCCCTAACCCTCAAGGGGCGTACAATCTACAGTCTCTAACTCACATTCATACACATACTAGGGCCAATTTAGACAGGATCCAAATAACCTACCAGCATGTCCTTGGAGTGTGGCAGGAAACCGGAGTACCCGGAGGAAATCTACGCAGGCACAGGGAGAACATGCAAACTCCAGGCAGGAGATGCCGTGGCTGGGATTCGAACCAACGACCCTAGTACCGCCAGGTGGAAGTGCTAACCATTTAGCCACTGTGCTGCCCAGTATGATGCATGAGAACTTAACTGCTCAATGACACTCATCCCTAGATTGTAAGCTCGAAAGAGTAGGGCCCTCTTACCCCTCGTACGTTGTTTTTTTGTTGTACTGTGCCATGTATTGTCCCCCCCCCCTATTGTACAGCGCTGAGCAAACCCTTTGGCGCTATATAAACTCGATGTAATAATAATAATAATCCCAAATTTCTAGGAAATATGTTTGGCTGGACTACAATAGCAATGCTACAATAGTATACCAGGACACACTAGCTCTATACAAATCTCATTACAAATCCAGAGGGCCTCATATAAGGAATAGGACCTAAACTGCCTTGTAACAGCTATCTTAACAAAAAAAATTTGAAAACAAAAAAAACATAGGCTGTCACGTGACTTTTTTTTTTTTTTTTTTTTTTTTTTTAGGGTCATAGTTCACAACAAACTGAAATCTGGGCCTCCAGAATAAAGACTCAGCACCTCTGGAACAACCGAATAAATTCAAGTGTAGTCTAATCACAGGCAGTGTATGCTGACACAGAACGTCACACCACATCTAGTGCTCATAGCTGCCTATCTCTCTGAATGAAAAGGGATTCTGCGACAAATGGATTTTGAAACAGGATTTATTTTCTGCACATCCTGCACAAAATAATGAGAAGACCTATTTGATATGCACACAGAAATAAAGCCGGTATAAACATTTCCAAGCCATTCCGCTCACAGAAGATTAAACTATATTTTCCTACTGTTTAGCATTCTAACTTGCAGACACCTTTACAGGAATGATCTACATGTAGTGTCTTCTTAATACAGGGCACATTGCCGAATTACATCTGTAATATTTGTTACACATACGTTTCTCTCCCTGAATACCTACAACATATGTTAAATCATTCCAGTACAGACTACAAACAAAATAAGAACATGCACAGTACTAGGTTTACTTTTCAATTATCTCTTCCAAACAAGGGTTAAAGCTGAACTCAAAGATTAGTAAATACCATCTAAGTGTAAGAGTCATGTGTATTCTTCCTTGAATCTGGGAGTGCTTTGTGTATTCCTTCTGTGCAGTACTCCAGTGTAAAACTTTACCTCTGTGCAGGAGGTTCCTCTAATAAAGACCAGTCACTGCTGATCTCTTTCCTTGTGCTGGATGACTGGTCTCATCTCCTCCCCTCCCTTGTCATTTTCTGCAGTCTGTAGTGGGTGGAGCCTCCTGGATCCCCCCCCCCCCTATAGCTCTGCTCTTTGAACAAGCTATATACAGCACAGCGATGTCACTACTACTTTTTCAAGGTAATATCTGGGTTTGCATTGACATTTGTGCACACAAAGTGGATTTCTGTCCTTTGTATTAATGTAAAACTATAGGCAAAACTTTTTTTTTCCCCACTTTGAATAGAGTAAGGGAGGGTTATAACTCCTGTCCGATTTTTTTTTTCACATTGTGAGATCCATTGCAGAGATTTCCCTTCACTTACTATCCCATAGCTAAACAGGAAGTGAGAGGAAATCCCTGCAAATTAAGAGAAATCCTGGGTGACCCCCAGGTCACCTGAACTAGTGTCTGCATTGGAGAATTTCCACTCTATTACTGTTCTGGGGACAACCCAAAATTTGGGAATTTCTTCTACTTTCAATGAAAATGGCGAACAGGACAAATAGAGAGTGAATCTCCTGAACAGAGACACAGAGAGCAATAAAAACTGACAAGTATTCAAACCCCTCACATGCTATCCAAAACTAAAAGAAAAAAAAAAGTCTTGCCTTTAGTTATACATCAAGGAATATAGAAGGACTCAAAATTTTAAGTCCTGGACTACTAGCCAGGCCTTAAGAGTTACTCTCCACCAGGTGCCCCACCCAAACCCCTACCCTGCCCGGGCCCTAAACACGCCCTCGTAAATTATATGTCACTGTTAAATGTTTTATGCAGATCCACCCCAGGTCAGTGTTGTCCTACAGTAAAATCTGCCCTAGGACAGTCTTTTCCCAGTAAATCCCCCCCCCCCCCCGGTCAGTCCATCCCCAGTAAAATCCCCCCACAGGAGGGGGGGCAGCGAGACAGGTGGGGGGCCAGCATCACAACAGGGGGGCAGTGAGAAAGGTGGGGGGCAGAATGACAGCATGGGGGACAGGAGGAGGGAGGGCAGCGTTACAGGAGTGGGGGACAGTGGGATAGGTGGGAGGCAGCGTCACAGGAGGGGGGGGGCGGGGGATAGGTGGGGGGCAGTGTCACACAGAATGGGGGGCAGTGGGACAGGTGAGGGGCAGTGGGGCTAGTTGGCACCGTGCTACAAGTGGGGCTGTCCGATTTCACACAAGTAGTGAGACTTGGTGGCCACATTGACTCCCACTGTTGAAGGTGGCATTGACAGATCCTGGCACGTGGCTGGCCAGTTGGTGGTAGTGGTGGGGGGGGGGGGGGGTGGAATGTGTGGTGGTGGGGCCGTGCCTGCAGTGTCCTCCGTGGGCTGTGCAGGACTCTGCACGAGGAGGGATGGGGGAGACTCCAGTAGTTCTGGAATACTGGGCTGGGCTCCACACTCGCCCCCATGTTATATACACTCACCAAATGCGAGCAGGCAAATGGAAATTTTGAGGCCTGGGATAAAGGGTTAGTTCATCTTTTTCAAAAAACCACCTATGCATATAGGGGGCATCTGTAGATCAAAACAAACTCTGCAGTTTTAACCAAAGTTCAATAATACCCGTTATAGGTGTAGGCCATTTACGTATATCCTGAAGCCTGAGTGGAAAACTCCCAGGGACATTGCTAAGTGAGACCTATTTATTACTGTTCATCTTCACCATCACAGGAGTGAACTCTCAATTTTTGAGCCCAGAACTACTACATCAGGATGGAGTGAGAAAGCAAACGTTAGGAGGTTTGAATCCGAGAAAAAGCTCACTCCTGTTATGGTGAAGGTGAACAGTAATAGCTGGGCTTCTCTTAGCAATGTTCTAGGAGTTTTCAGGTCAGGCTTAATGAAGTACATAAACGGCCTATATACACATATAGCAAGGGTTTTTGGTCAAAGCTGCACCGTTTGATTTTATCTCCAAAACATCCCTTTTCTGCATATACAGTTTATTGAAAATTATTATTATTATTTCAGGTACTTATATAGTGCCATCAATTTACACAGTGCTTTACACACACACACACACACATATATACATATATATATATATATATATATATATATATATATATATATATATATATATATATATATACACACACACACACACACATACATATATATATACACATACATATATATATATACAGTCATGGCCGAAATTGTTGGCACCCTTGATATTTTCTCCAGGAAATCATGTATTTCTCACGAAACGTATTGCATTAACACATGTTTTGCTATACACATGTTTATTCCCTTTGTGTGTATTGGGACAAAACAAAAAAAGGGAGGAAAGAAAGCAAATATCGACATAATGTCACACAAACCTCCAAAAATGGGCTGGACAAAAGTATTGGCACCCTTTCACAACTGCGGATAAATAAGAATGTTACAAGCATGTGATGCTCCTGTAAACTCACCTGGGGCAAGTAACAGGTGTGGGCAATAT